ACAGTAGCTCAGAAGAGACAAACACTGGCTCGAGATAGATTGGGCTTTTCACATAGAACATAGAAAGTAAAAGCTATTCTCCCAAACTGTCTAAAATAATATACACTGGTTTGCTAATTACATTTTAACACATTTTATAATTGAGTTAAATGAATGTGGTCTTCTGCCTTTAAAAAAAAAAAAGTTTTACTTTGTTTATGGATTTTTTTTGTAGGTAGGCTTCACCTTAGATGAGAATGAGATTAGAATCCCCAGGGGATTATAACATAAAAATAATATATATATTACAATAAGTATAATGCTGCAAAGCTGAAAGATATACTATTACTATAACAGAAATGTATTTATACTATTAAAACAGTGTTGCGGTTTTTGTGTCTTTAATAAATTTATGTTATTTATGAGATGAATGTTTTTAGCACACCAGTCTGCTTTATCCCCCCCTTTGTATCAATCGGAGCAACATAAGGTTACTGAATCACTCTGGCGCTGTGTGACTTACCACTTTATCCTGCATCTGACTCCAATTTTGTCAGATTGCATTATACGAGAAATAGACTAGATATTCGCCATGACTCCAAGTTAAACGGGTCGCTTATATAATAGTTACAAAAAGATAATTTAGTGATGATACATGATTCACACTTGCGTTTTTGTGAGGCTAAAGTGCCACGCTGAAGTGCAGTGGACACGTGGAGTCGGTATAAATATAGCTTGTTTTGCTTCAGTCAAATGCTGCTCTGTGGATGGTGTTAGTGGTGGGGGGGGAATCAATGTTCAGAGTTAACATTTTGGCCAGAGAGTTGTTGCAGAAAGTACACGTATCATCTCAATCATTGTGTGTCCGCTCCCAAGTGTTCATGGCCGTACTAGCAAATTAAAGGGGGGGGGGGGGTGCTTCGGTGCAATAAATTACTTTTCCAGCTGTAGGAAAAATGTCTGACAGTGTTTAGAGCAGAATAGAGGAGGAGCAGCTCCCCCAGACTTCGTGGAAGTTGTCAGAATATCACAAGTGAAGCTGATTACATGCGTACATCGTCTTAATTTATTGTATTGGCACTTAGACAATCCCTTGGGCCGGTCAGATTGTTATTCATTTACCTCCCGTCTGCCTTGATGATCATTGGCAGCCCGACATTAAAAAAAAAAAAAATGCTGTCGTTTTTTTGTGGAAACAGTCTCTGAGCTTCTTTTATGATCATTTTATTTGATTGACAGTTATTACATAATTTTCAGTAAATAGATTATCAAATGAATTAATATTAGTTTTATAACAGTCTGTCTCTGGACAGAATGACTGTGGGTTTGAGTTGTATTTGAATCAGTATTGGCAGCATAGTCAGTATGTGGTGAGTTTTTGAGATTTCGGCTGCCAACCAAATACAAAAAGTCCATTACATTTTGAGTGGTGGTCAAAGCAGTGAGAAATGACTGCTGTTGACAATTGTTGACGTGTTGCTGTTGAGTTTTTAAGGAGTTTCACTATTAAAACTTGGCATGCGAAGCACAATCAACAAGAACTGGAGTCT